CTCTCACCTCTATTCCCTTCTCTTCATTTCTCATAACTTGATCCTTACTCAGGCCGACATCTGTGCAGACAAGTAGGACTTTAAGAAAATCCTAGGAGCTCTTTCTGGATTGCAATGCAAAGGGTCCACTGAGCGTGAATACCATCACCCCCACCCAGCAAAAAAGGTTGCACCTAAACTCAGCTCCTACTGGCCCCCCAGTTGCTTCTCCTGAGAAAGACAAGCTGAAGTTTCCCACATTACCTGAAGTCCATAAGTTCTAGGCTTTCCAAATAACCCTGCAAATGCCTGACATTACAATGAGACTGCTAAACCCAAAGTAGTCTTCTTATCCCTAGTCCTAGGATCGCTCTCACACTTGCCCCATGAAGAAGGAGAAGGAGAAGGAGAAGGAGAAGAAGAAGGAGGAGGAGGAGGAGGAGGAGGAGGAGGAGGAGGAGGAGGAGGAGGCCATAGAATGACCATATTGCTTTGATGGGGGACACTGTGCTGGAACAGGGACTTAATGTGCAACCCACCAATTTGGGTTCCAAAATGCTTTTCTGCAGAAAAATGATGGACTCTGCCTCTCACCTGATGGACCCTGCCTTTCACCTGTGACTTCAGAGAGCAGCAAGGGATGCCCTTGTCTTTGCTCTTCTCACATCTCCCCAGACTTCTGTTTATAAATCTCTCATCCATACTTCACATTAAAGGCAACTACCTAAAACAGATCAGATCAATTACTTCCTGCCTAAGACTTTCCTTTGTAGAACAAAGCCCAAATTTCTCAGTATGGTGAACAAAGTCCTCAACCTTCTAGCTCCAACTTTCCCCACTCATTTTCTGCCCCTCCATCCACAGAGACACACAGACACACACACTTCACATACACACATCCTTCCACTATCCTACACCTTTCCCACCACTGCACAAAACACAAAATGTACTCAGAGGTCTGTGTACTTGTCGTTGACAAAAATAATCACACTGCCACCTTTTAACACAAATTGACAGAGAACACAAATGCTCCCTCCCCCAGGAAGCCCTCCCCAATCTTCTTGGGAGGCTTGGCCCCTGCCCCTCTTCTCTCACAAGACTACTGTATTATATCTAGACTTAATCCAGAGACTGTTCCCTTCTGAGCTTTGCTTCCCTTCACCTAGCAGAGAGCCTAGCACATAATGGGCACTCTGAATATTTGTTGAAGAAATAAACTAATGTATAAATAAACAAGCTCATCACCAGGAGGCATTGTCAATGAGCCCTTTTGTCTGTCTTCAATTAAGTCACTTTTTCAGCTACCTGCAAGCTGCTATTATTTGTTCTTTAAAGTGTTTCACCAAGGATGAATCTGGAAGTCTCTTTCCTACTCTGTAAGATTTTTGTTGTTGGTGTTTGTTTGTTTGTTATTGTTGTTGTTGTTGTTGTTTTGGTGGTGATGATGAGTGAACCCAGGACTGCGGGTATATTAGGCAAGCACTCTACCAACTGAGCTATTTCCCCTTCCTTCTCTGTAAGTTTTATATGTAAATCATCTAAAGCAAAATTATAATGTGCAATGAGTTTTGAAAAACTCTCGACAGCTCAATTTTAGCCCTCAATTTGCACGTTCCTTAAAATTTACTTTAAACAATAGTATCAACGCTTTATAGGACACCAAATATTAAATTAATATTAATGGTAATAACAATAATAATTTCCTTTTTGTTTTTTCTCTATTTTCCATATTTTTATTAGTGCATTATAGTTGTACATAATGGTGTAATAATTTCCTTTTAAGTAATTGACTGATGTCAAGAAGTAGCCAAACCAGTGACATGCAGTCAGAAATTTATATTTTTCATCAGAAAAACAATTCACTACCAATGACAAATAACAGTAGGGCCACTAAAACTACCTGTCATGCATCTAATGAAGACAGATTCTCTGGCTACCACATATAATATGTAATATCCAAAAGCACTGCTGTAATTCACAGCTAATTAGTGTCTTGCAGTTATGAGAGGTGTCATGGCCTAACTCTCTTTTCCGATCTACTCAGACCTCACAAGAGCCGACAGTCACGCAAGGACCACAACAACCCAATTAGCACCCACCCCAACCTTGGGTTGCTGCTTCTCAGAGCCACCCCAGCATCAATAAATCATGCTCTCTCATGAAGCTCTTCCCTGACAGCTGCAAGCCAGTGCTGCCCAAGGAATAAGACAGTACTTCTAAGGAAAACTCATGTGGGAAAGATGGAGATAGAAAAGGGATATTATTTGCCTGCCTTTACCTGCACAGCAGTCAGCAAAATTGAAGACCATCAATTCTGACTGATTAAGGAGACAACTGCACTAAGAAATAAATCCATGAGCGGTACATCTGAAGATTTTTAGTGATAATCAACAGTCAGCAATTGGATTGTTTGTTTATTTAATGTGGATATACTGAAGACCTTTTTCTTTCCATTTCCCCCCCACACACACATAGCCTTCCCTCTGGCTAATAAGAAAATTTTCCTTTCAGTAGAACATAATAGGATGCATTTACTTTATCTCCTAGTGAATACACGGCAAAAGATAATTTGTTTGAAAGACTCTAAATTGTTTGACTTCATTGAAAAAGAATCTATAATGATATGCTGGTCTCTGAGCAAGGCCTACAAAGCTTCCTAAATCCATAAGCAAGCTCTAGAGTATTCACAGCACACAACAGCCAATATCCTCGTAATTTTGTTCTAAGCCTGTAAATCTGTTTTGCTCCATAATATTCTTTTTAGAGAATGTTCTGAGCCATTGCTATAGCCTAAATGTTATTCAAAGATAAAATCACGTAATTCAGCTGTTGCTGTTATTTTTCTCATGGAGATATTAGTCTTCTGTATTTTTAATGCTGATCTGAAACATTTCACCTAGCCGTAAATGACTACTGCCTAATTTAATATATAAATATTGTCAAACTCAAATAAACTAACATGAATGCATTTAAACAAGGAATTCTCATGTATCTCTTCTTATTAAGCATAGAGACTTCAAAAAGATTCAGTTTTCTTCATCCATACATAGTATGCTCATGAAAATACTTAAATATTCAAGTATTTATCTACAAGAATCTTCACTATATCATATTTTATAATAGCAAAATCACTGAAAATAACAAAATGTGCAAAACTTGAAATAGGTCAAATAAAATGATCGTATGCTTATACAGTGGAATGTTATGTAGCTTTTAAAAAAAATATTAAAAGGCATGCAAAAATGGTCACAGGATACTGCAAAACAGAATTTAAAATGGAGCCTGGATCCACATTACACATGCACACAAAATTGTGTATATACATATGCTTATATATGCACATAGACATACATATACATAGATAGACTTTTCCATATTTACAAGATGGTCTCAATTTTGTTTCCTGTGTATGAAGGTGTGAGTGTATATGATGCAGATGGAGTGTAGAAAAAAAGGTTGACAGAAAAAATATTTCAAACACAAAATTTATTTTCAGAAAGTGATATGTTAGATAATTCTTATTTGAGTTGTTTCTGTTTATATAAATTTTTAATTTTTTTATAATCAGAACAATGTTATATAAAATATTCATGTCACCTGAATTTGTACAGGTATACATTAGTGTGAAGTCCCAACCAGGTAGGGTATTATTCTGAGCTCATAATGAAGTATTTTGATTACTGCCCTGGGTATAAGCAACTTTTAAAAGGTTAGGGACATGTTAAACTTGGACACATTTCAAGAATGATAATCAGAACAGCGTTATCTAACCTCTCATCCATGAAGGTAGGAGTTGAGTCAAATCCACATGATTTTGAAAAATCATATAGATTTAGTATCAGAATAGGCAAAAGGACCCTCTGCAAAATCTGACTCAATAATACCATTCTTGATTTTCTCCAGCTCCAACCCACCTGCTCTAATATTTGGGACCACCAGGTAAGCAGAAAGGTAACAGATGCCAAAAACACATTTCATGACCAGAGTACAGGTTCAAAGTTCCCAACACATGGGGGCTCAGGACCTGCTTCACTGTGATACCATGAAGCTGTCCTGACTCCTAGCTCTGAGCCAGGCAGACACAGTGAGGTATGGGACATCACATGTACTAAGCACTTACTCCAGATCCGAAGGAATGAAAGGAAGCAAAGTCTCTTCCCCTACAAGGTTTACATCTAGTCAGGAAAATTGAATAAGAGGACAATAACACAAAGGACAGGCTTTTTTCCACTGGAGATCAGGATAAGGCAAGAGGAGAGAAATTTTGATATTTAGAGCTGAACTAGTGTAGAGACTTTAAGAAAAGGCCATTCTGCAACACTGCAACATAAACCTTTAAAGATATTTGAAAGCAAAGACCTGCATGTATCACCTGAACTCTCAAAAGTTCTTTCTCAGGTCTCCTAAGCTTCTGTATTTTCTAGGGTGGAGAAACATGTACTTGACCTTCAGCCGGAAAACTACATTTGATGACATCATACATATCATGAGTTAATTAAATGCATTTGCATTCAGCATTTCAATTCACTTCCTATTTACCAGGCAAAGACAGGTAAAATGCAAATGCATACATATGTGTGTGTTTGTATGTGTTATAATATGTTAAAATTTATACATTACATATACATTATAATGCATATATTATATGTGTGCATATGTGCATATATACAATTATATCATGGCCAAATTAAATTTGAAGACAGTATAGTTTTGTTTCTTGCTTATCATTTCCCTAAAAGGATCCTAGATAATGCTGAAGTGAAAAAACACAGCCAGATTCATGTGCTTACACTTTCATATCTAGAGTACATATATTTGAAACTGTTTATAGAGACTACTAGCCATAGGAAAATTTTTGTGTTAATTTTTATATTACTCCTGAGTAGTTCTGTAGATTTAATTTTGGAGTTATTATGAAGAAAACAAAAGAAGGCAAGTTTAACATGTCCATATCCACACAGCAGGTTCATGAGTGCAGACTCTCAAATTTATATTCCAACTCCACTAAATAATGTCCATACCTGAAAGGGAGAAATCTCCTTTCTGGCTTTCACTCTCTCTGATGAGAAAAGCACCCGTCTGATTTTCTGAATATAATAGTTGCTTTTCTGCATCTGCTCTTTTAATTGCTCCAAAGAACCACCTAAAAAGAGAGAGATGTAAAACCTTAATTAAACATCAACATTCAGTTTTAAAAGCAAGAAACTTAGCAAGAAAGTGTCCTAACATCAGAAACATCTGACACACTAAATAAATTGTTACAAATATAAGTAGTGACTTTTGCACTTGAATGATTTTTCAGGATGTCCATAAAAATAAATTATGAAGCAGAAACTTGGGGGATGCCTGCTCCACACCCCTCCTCATCCCTACAATCTGAGATCTTGTTCCCTCTTTCTATCAAAGCCAAAGCCCCTCTATAGTCCTTGTCATGTAAGCCAACATGATCCAGTCTATAAAATTACTCATCATCACTATCCAAATGTCCACTGCTTACCTAATACCACCTAGATGTTAGGAGGCAAATATTTCAATTAATATTGCAGTGTGAGGGATTAAAAGTATACTTCCCCCAAACATTAATTCCTTTCTTTTCCCATCTCCATTGGGGCCCAACCCCACTAAAATATATGTAAGAGGAATTTATTAATACAAAGGAAACTTTAGTCAATGAAGAGATTACATGAAAAAGCTACTTCTGGCTGAGAAGTACCTTCTTGGTGCCACCTCACCCTTTGTCTTTACCCTCTTATCTTTACCCTTTCAGAAATATAAGAGTTAGATACAGAGATTCTATTTCAAGCTTTGACTCATGAATGAATCCATTGGCAAGCAGTCACATGCCATGCCTAAATCAAAAAGAGGGGAAAGTGCAATCCACCATTTACCAGAAGACAGAGAACTAGAAACACTGGGGGGAACTAAACTAATGGATGCCACACTGATTCAGTGTCAGCACCAAATTAACAGTCATAGACTATTATTGGTCCAACAGAAACAATGAAAAACATGGAAAAGTTCCAAAGTAGCAGGTCACAAATTCATAGAAAATACAAATGCCTGTTTCCTACTATTTCAGAAATAAGTCAAGGGAATACTATAACATAATAAAAACTCAAACTGACCCAACATATAGAACAGTGATGAAAGGACAAATTATTCAATCAATGATGCTGATATCATTAATAATCCATAGAGAAATATAGATGCTACCAACAGCTTATACAATAATTTCACATAAGGATCTAATATAAAAGGCAAACTTTAAAACTTTCTAAGGACATTGGACTAGAGCAAAAAGAAAAAGATATACAAACCTTAAAGGAATAGATTAATAATATTTATTGCATCACAATTTAAAACTCCCTCACCAACAAGATTACTATGGAATAAGATTAAAATACAAGTCACAAACTTGGAGAAAATTTTTCAAAGTATGTAACAAAAATAAGATTAATATTCAGATTATATTGAGATCTAAAACAAAAGACAAAACAGTAGAAAAAAATGGCAAAGTACATAATTGGATAGTTCACAGAAATGGGAAACCCAAATAATTAATAAAAATGAAGAAGCACAGTCTTTATCTATGCTAATTAAATATTACATATAAAAACCACAATGAAAAACAATTTCACACTTTTCATGCTGACCAAAATTTAAAATTCTCACATTATCAGATATTGGAGAAAATATGAAATAAGAACTTTATACAGCCAGCAAGTGGAGCATGCCTGTAATCCAAACACAGGAGCCTAAGGCATGAAGATCACAAGTTCAAGGCCAGCCTCAGCAACATAGGCTCTCAGCAACTCAGCAAGACCCTGTCTCAAAATTTGAAGATAAATAAATAAAAAGGGCTATGGATGTGGTTCAGTCGCAAAGTGCCCCTGAGTTCAATTACCAGTCCAAAAAAAAAAAAAAAAAAAAAACTTTACACAACACTAGTGACAATATAATTTGGTTCAACAAATTTATAGAGCAATATGGCATTACTCAGTTTCACTTCCTGACTTATATGGTGAGTGTACCAAAGGAGAAATATGACAAAAATATTCACTAAAGAACTCAAATATTGAAAAGTTGGACACAATTTTTGTGGTAGAGCGCTTGCCTAGCATGCATGAGGCCCTGGGTTAACTTCCCAGTACCACCAAAAAAAATGAATAAATAAATAAATAATGAATGTTGTTTTCGACATATATAAGCTTAGTTATGGATATTAAGTGTACTTTTACTCAGAAGTTGAAATGCATAAATTGTTCAGAGACAAAAGGAAGTAGAAGAAATTTGCATACCAATATAATATCCTTTGTATAAAGTTTAAGCAAAGACACTTAAAAAAACTATACATGTTTTTATGCATACATGAATGCCTAGTGAAATTTAATAGTTAAAATATTCTTTAAAATCCATTTACAGAAATGACAAAATTTCTTCACACAGTATTTCAAGTGAAGAAGTACCATGGATGAAATACTCCTAATCAGCTCAATGCATTTTCCTCATTCAAAGTGCATTGATTATTCATAAACATTAAAATGCTTGGTCAAAACATAAATACGTAAACCTTTACAAGAATTACAACTTATCTAGAAAATTAAATTCTTTAAATTATAATTTTTATCTCCTATATTTCATTCTCAAGTACAAATATTCCATTATATGTTTATGTATACACATTATATTAGTATTTTAGATAATCAACCTTATAAATGATGTTTCCATTACCCAACATATATATAAGCAAGCAGTTTTTGTAAACCAAATGATTAAAGATTAAGCAATTTTACTATAAAGAAACTCTATAGTAAGTTTTAAAAATCCTGTCTCAATTTTGGATTTTTGTTTAATAGATGGGTATAATTGCTTTATGGATTCAGTACTGAATCTACAGTAATGATGAAATTGATATAAATGTTTGACTGGATGCAGCAGGTCACTTTTTTACTTGGCTGAGCTCCTACCAGGAAGAGAATATAAATAATAAATTGTTTTCTGGATGTAGCGGCATCATAATACCATCCTTCATACGCTAAGATGACACACCTGCTATAGATTGCAATCTTTGGAGCATGTGATGCCACAGAGACTAATGAGAAAACAATAGCTAGTTCCACCCTCTGCACTCGTGAAAACTATTCCTTAATTTGAGGTCTGAGCCATTGGCAGGACTGTCATTCTCTTCAGTTCTACCTTTAAGTGTCCCTGCTGGCCCTGTTGTGAAAGGACACGCATACCGGAGGTTTGGTGGCACATCACAGCCATTTTTGACGCCCTCTTTAACCTGCAGTTCTTATAGGGAGTAAAACAATGAGTACTGAGAAGGGATCTAGATATCATATGAGATATAAATTGCACAGGTGAGCCAAACAGAGCAGTGGTCTTTAAAGTAGAGTTTCTAGACCAGGAGCATCAGCATCACACAGAAATTATTAGAAATGCAAATTCACAGGCCTCATTCCAGACCTACTGAACCAAAAACTCTGGAAGTGGGATTCAGAAATTTGGGTTATAACAAGCCTCCCAGGTGGATCTGATGCACATTAAATCTTGAGGACTATTGACCTATAGAAATAGTAAAGAAATTAGATATTTACATAAGACAGATACACACTATTGATATTTCATGAAAATAATCTATTTGCTGTACCATAACAATGCCATGAAGAAGCTATTGATTAATAATAACTAAAAGGATACAATACCTATGATAACTTATATCCCAGGAGAAATAAATGCTTCCATTAGATGAAAACTGAGCAAAAACCCAAGGATGGTGGCACATGCCTATAATTCTAATGATTCAGGAGACTGAGGGAGAGTCACAAGTTGAAGGCCAGCAGCCAGGTCAACTTAGTAAGACCTTGTCTCCACATAAAAATAAAAAGGGCTAGGGATGTATAGCTCAATTTTAAAATGCCCTGGGTTTGATTCTCAGTACCACCACACACACACAAAAAAAGTTAATGCCTATTTGTGGCAAAAGTAATATGTGACTAAAGTCTAAATTTTATTTTGCAAACAATCTATCAAGTATCCACTGTGGGTAAAAGGCTACAACATGACAGAGAAAGATCTTTAAGACATCATTAAATGAAAAGAGTACATTGCAGAGCAATCGGAATAATATAGTCCTATTTATATTTTTAAAACCAATCCAAACTTATATGTGCTTCTTCTCTGAGATATGATAAAAGTGATGACAGAGGACTTTCAGTTCTTACTTTGTGCTCTTCTCTATAATTTGAATGTCTACAGTGAGACGTAGTTGTAGATCACATTATAATTTATTTAAATATAAAAAATTAAGTTATTTAACAAACTCTAGGTGTTGTAAAGGTGTGGACCAGAAAGTCTGGCAATTAGAATTGATGGAGACAAGAAAAATCCCAAAGGAACATGAGAACAGGTAAGCATGGTTGAGCAGCGCAATGATGGGAGAGTCCATGCACCACCAGGGTTCAACTCTGAGTGACTACAGATGGTGTGCCCGTCAACACCTTAGAAAGCAGTGTAGACTAATGGTTAAGAGTGACAGCATCTCACTGGAGATGTTAATTAACCTCCCAACTTCAATTTTCTCATTTGTAGGTGGGAATAACAACCCTCACAGCCTTGTTTTGAGATTAAGAAAAAATCACATCTGTGTAGAGCTTGATATCTGGACACATTTGTTTTCAACCCATTTTAAGAAAACGAATTTAAAGGGTAAATTATAAATTGTTTTAGACCTGATGAATTTGAGCTCATGATTGAACACGAGTGAATATATAAACATGATCTGTAATTATGTTCATAGTTAGTTCATCCCTGCCTATCATTCCTGATAATCTGCCACCAGGTGGCAGTAGCCCATTTTACTAATTCAAAAAGAGGAAGAGGACCTTAATCTGTATTTTACCAAAATGAATAAATAAAGTGAGCTTTAATTTTTTTTAAAAGTAGCATTACCACTTAAATATCAACATTCAAATAATATAGATATCAACCAAATGTATATTTTTTTCTAATGTCTCCCTAAATAAAACAAGGCAGCTGGTCTTCAACTACCATAGTCAAATCTATTTTTTTTTTTTTTTTTTTTTTTTAAAGAGAGAGCGAGAGGGGGGGAGAGAGAGAGAGAGAGAGAAGTTTATTATT